GTTTAATTAATTATAAATTATTTTATTATTATAAATTATATTAAATTTTATAATAATTTATTTATAAATTATTTATAAATTAATTTTATTATTATATAAATTATTTAAATTATATTTATTCAGGATACCAGCAGTGCCGTATTCCGAGGAGCTCCCGAATATAAATTTTGATCGCCCATCAAACTCCTGCAAGGAAGAGATCCTCGAGCAAATTTCGAAACTGGGCTGCATCTCTCGTACAGTTCCCGTTCAGATAACGAACATTGAGGAGAGACCAGGGGTTTGTTCGTCAAATGGCACATAACTAATCCGGAATACACTGAGGAACAAACGTTTATCGTGGAGAAGGGCGAACGGGGAAGTCGTCGACCCTGCATCGTGCGAGTTCGAGACGGTTTACAAAGGATCCGAGATCTTCTGCTTCATCAGAAATGTGCCTATTGATCAGCCAGTCACCCTTAGAGTCAGAATACAAGCGGATAATGTGGCGAGAGAGCGTACATCACGTCGCGCGAACTTCTATACCACCATATAGTATGTACAAAGAAAGAGCAGACGTATATTTTTTAAATAATAATTTTAAAATCGAAAATGTACTGATCTATAAGTACAAATTCAGATAAAAACAGCTATTTTTTTAAGAGCAAGGTGCAATAAAATTATTTTTAAATTCCTCTATACTTATTTTAAATACAAATAAAATATAAAAAATAAAACGGAAGAATTTAAAAATATTTTTTTGTATAAAATTAAAAAATTTTAAACACATTAAATGCAACAAAAAATATTTTTAAATTTCTCTATACTTAGTTTTAATAATAATAAATTTTAATAATAAAATGTATAAATAAATAAAATAAAATAGAGGAATTTTTTAAATAATCTTGTTGCACTTAATATCTTTATAATAATTATTTTTTTTATATTTTTGAATTAAAATTGTATAAAACTTAAAAATATAAATTATTAAATTAAATTTCTTTATACTTATTTTGAATACAAAATAAGTATAGAGGAATTTGAAAATAATTTTGTTGCATTTAATGTGCCTGGCTCTTTTATACCTGAATTTATGTTTACAATATTTTTGAAATTAAACTAAAACTTTTCTCTAAAAATTACAAAATTAGCTTCACATCTTTTTTTGGTATAAATTAAATTGACAATTGAATATAATTTGGAAATCGTTTCTCATTTAATTGCGAAATATGTATTAATTAATTTATTAATGTAACAATGTAAAAATCATTTACAATTACAGGCTGGGAACTCGAGAATAAAAATTACATGATCACTAATAATGGTAAAACGACCGCAAAACTCACAGACACTATAAGTACATTATTCTCAGAAGGTCCTCAGTTCGATGCGAATCACATCATCGAATTCAAGGTGATTGCACGCGATAGAATTTTATCATTTATATTTACCGAATGTGCTGTACGTGGGTAAATTATCTATAATAATAATAATGATGACTTATGATACAGTTCTTAGAAGTTTCGCCAGACGGAGACGACGACGAGGGTATCGCATTGGTTTACAATCCGCAAGGCAATGATGACACCTTGAAAAGAACGGCATCGTTGATGATCACGTGTCGTGGAAAGATTTTCATGGATGGCGACGAGAAACTGATGCGCCTGCCAAAAATGCGCTCTGGTGCAAACATTGTGATCTCAGCCTTTCGGAAAAATGCTCACGTACTGCGAGTGAATATCGAATCTGAAAACAAATGCGTCACGTATGACTGGCGGGTGCAAACGCCTCTGTACTTTGCCGCCCGATTTGCCGAGTACAAACGATGGAATTTGACGATTAAATAGAGAGACAAGAGCTGTTTTTATCATGCAATGCATGATATACAGGGTAACCCATAGAAAAATGCTGAAGTTAATCATTTGAGAAAACAATTATGCTGAAAAGAGGAAAATCTGCAGTTTTTAATGGATATAAATAAAATATTTGTAGTTTATTTTATTGATAAAAAGTAATGAAGAGTACTAATAATCACATAAAATCATATAAACTAATAATCAATATTTTCAACAACATGCCAGATTTAATAATAGTTATTAAAAAGGTCGTAGTTGCATGCATTAAAAAATGATAACTGATTAGTTTCAGCATTTTCCTATGAAAAACCCTATAATTTTGTAAGAATAAATGGAAAGTGCCTTACATGCAGGAAACATTCAACCTGAACAACCTCTGCAACCGCAATGAATGCATTCTACTATTCGGCCTTCTTCGAGTTTGCCCTTAGGCACCCTGCAGATGCAATTTGTACCGAAATTCGTGTCTCTTGTCTGAATGCATCGCAGGCAACATAAGTTTTCATAGCCAACCTTCTTCCATTTGGCAATCAGATTCTTGTCCGCAATATTTTCGTTCAAACAGTAATCGTACAATTCTGAAATGAAAATACAGAGCTCAGAAAAAGATTACTTTTAAATTAATTAAAATTAACTTGAATAAAAAAAATAATTATATAATTACAAATAAAATTTTAATAGATTAAAATATAATTAAAAAATAAATATGATATAATATTTTTTAGAAAATATATATAATTATATAAATATATTTATATATAAATATTATATAAAAATATATAAAATAACTATATAATAAAAATAAAATTTTAATAGAATAAAAATATAGTTAAATCTTAAAAATTATGCAACTCACCGCGACTTATCGCTTTTCTTCTGTAAAATAGATCGTATATATAACGCGATTTCTGATGATGAATTTTAAAAATCGGCCACAGAGATTCTTGTTTCCTTTTGCCCTCGTGCGGTTCGGTTTCAGCTATAAAGATAAATCATGTCTTAAAAAGGTTTTTTTTTCTTAAAATTGGAGAATTAAATAAAAGTTTAAAAACGGTTAACCTCACAAAGCAAGCTTACCTTCGCGCATTTTCTGTTCCAGTTCTTCTAGAGTCGGCTCGATCAACTCCCAGCCATCGGGAGGTGGTTTTTTGCTCCGTCGTACTTTCGGCATACTTTATTCTATTTTATTATTATTTTTCTTTCACTAAAAATATAATGCTTCCAAATATTGCATAAAATAGTCAAGGTTCCAAAAGTCCAAACTTCTGTTTATTTTTACACTAGATGCATTCGATGGAGAAAATTCCTAGATATCGGTCGATTGCTACCTAGGAATTTCTTCCGTTGAATGCGATGGAGAATATCAGCTCTGCTCCAATGCGGTCGTATTGATGCGCTCCTCGAATTGGACCAATACGAGCGCATTGAAGTAAAACGGAGCAAGTTGGGGCATACGACGCCACAGATTAATAGACAGATCGCCAAAGGCCTGCCTAAAGAAGAGACCGCCATCTTCATGCGATAGACTTTGCCCCTTACCGACACACTTTGCCCTGGTTCGAGTCCGTGCTAAATTTCGTAGACTCGACCAAAAGACTTTGCCCCTGGTGCAAGTCCAGGCTAAATTCGTTTCACATTACCAACAGACTTAGCCCCTGGTGCGAATCCAGGCTAATTGATCATGAGACCAATTTGAGAGATTTGGCCCCGTTGTGTGTGTGTGTGTGAGAGAGAGAGAGAGAGAGAGAGAGAAAGAGAGAATATTTTACATATGCATATATATATATATAAAATTTATTAAATATAAAAAAATATATATATATTTTATAAATTAAACTTCGGCTAATACAATTAAAATATGTGATATAATAAAAGGCCAACTTAACGAGCTTATATGCTATTAATTGAAAAATTTTATTTATTAATTTACGTCATACTATACAAAAGTTACGATAAACGTTTCGACTGTACGACAGTCTTTCTCAATATCCTAATAATATGTTAAAAAATTAATTTAGTCATTTCGACATCATAAATAAATACAACAATTATAAGATTATATGACGAACGCAGTACAAATTCATGTTTGTTGGCATGAGTTAGAGCGTCAGATGCTGTTATATTATGTATAACGACACTGTGAACAAATTAATATATCCGCTCAAATATTACCTTTAGATTTTTAATAAATAGTATTAACTTACTTTTTTGTCAACGAACATAACACTTTTTTTAAAAAATTATTTCTTTTTACTTAACATAATCACAATGTGTACTTTTTTAAAAAACAAATCGATGTCTGTATCTTACAATGTCGGCGCGCTGTATATATACCCAATTTTTAAGATGACGTAGACAATTTTTTTAGAATATCATAATAACTCCGGTTTCAGTGTTGCCAACGCCGAGAAACCAATTCTCGGGTTTTATGTAGTGGTGTATGTCTGTACACGTACATACACCACTGCATCGCTCACGCGGACGCACGTAAGAGAAACAAGAACCGATAATCACGTGTTCTCTTGTTCCTCTACCGTGCCGGTATACGCGAGATGCCACCTAAAAATGCTTTCTGGCCTTCCGTAGCAGAAAGCAGTAACGTAGCAAGACTAATAAGCACCCATTTTTGTAAATTTTATATATGCTTATGCACATATGTGGATATATTATTTATATATAATATATATAAAAATAGTGTATATATATATATATATATATATATATAATATACTAATTTACTCTCAATTATATATGCTACTGTTATAATTTATCATTAGACAATTATAAAACAGAGGTTATAGATTTGGTCTGACTACACTGGCCTCAAATTAAAGTTGTATATATATTTATTTTAACGTTTCGACCATACGGGATGTGGTCCTTTTCAAAAATACAGATTGGAATATCAGAGAGTTACAGCATTTCGTCTTTAAGATGTAAGCGCAAATTATGATTCGGAGAGATTTAACTTGTCAAATAATAAAATATAAAATAAATTATAAAATATATATACATATATAATTTGTAGTGCTATATATATATATATATATATATATATATATATATGTGTGTTTTATAATTGTCTAATGATAAATAATAACAGTAGCATATAATTGAAAGTAAATTAGTCTACAATCAATTAAAATTAATATCAATCAAAATTAATATTTGTCGCTAGTGGTGAAAATAAGCTTAATAAACGACTTGACTACGACGTAACTAGCAATTTTATTTGATTATTTCACAATATGTGAAATATTGTGAAATAATCAAATAAAATTGCTAGTTACGTCGTAGTCAAGTCGTTTAAGCTTACAATTAGTCTACAATGTTAGACACGGGTACTTGTTAGATTTGATAATTTATTGCTTATATTTTTTCGAGAGACAAGAATAAGAGAACGAATATAAATTATTATTAGCTTGTATAGCAATCATAGATTGACGAATATGCGTTGGTTATTCTTGATTTCTTTTCTATTATTGATGTTATTGTATAATTTGCTCCATAAATACTTATAACATAAAAGAACTTATGTCGAGTAATGCAGTAAATTATTAGAGTTCAAATATATCAATATCAATTTTTTAATAATATATTGGAATACAGAGAAATGATAAAAAAATATATTTCGGCAATAAAAATTTTATAAATATATTGAAAATATTTTTACTACACGCGCGCGTGCGCACACACACACACCCACATACACACTATATAAATGCAAAATAATACTGTAGATAACTATAAATATATAGAAAATTAATTAATTATAATATATAAAATTGATGTAACTCGTGAATAATACAAATATTTAAATTTCAAAAATATTTTTAGGATTACTCGATCAGCGGCTTAATGGGACATTGTTATTTTGAAAAGTGCGATTTTGTAGAAGCTATTCGCTGCTACGAATTTTCTAACGCGATGTATAATCGACCGGACGATTTGCATCTCGTACAAACGAGGTAAAAATGTTTGTCTCGTTGCATTACGTAAGATGATTGAAAGAGAAGACGAGTTATTAATGACAGCATTACACAATGTCGATAGAATGGGACTGTATTACAAAGATATTGGCAGTTACGAGCGCGCGTTAAAAGTTTTCCTCAACGCATGCCAGACTTCACCGACGGCAGAAACGTGGCTAGGTGCGGGAATCGCTTTTTACGAGGTAAATTCAATAATAAAAATAAAATCCAATAATAATAATGCAAATAATATGAAATTAAGATAAGGCCCGTGTATAAATTAAAATCAAACAATCCAACAATAAGCCAACTTGCGGGCCAAAAGATTAAGAAGTTACAAGATTCTTTATTAAAGATATAAAATAAAAAATAATATAAAATATAATAGAATTAATCCAATTAAATAAACAAGTAAACGTTTCGATAGTATAACTATCTTCTTCAATACAATGGTAACAGGAAACTTTAATTTCCTGTATCTCATCAACTTATCATCACGTTCTATAACGGTTTCGTTATCACAAGGACAATTTTTACAATGAAGGAAACAACTGCGGAATTCTCATGACTTGTTACATATTACATTTTTAACACACTGACGATTCCCGGATCACAATATTTAGACGTTTGAAAAATGTGAATCTAAAGAAATCTGATTTTATGCGTTTACCATCGAAAAAATTAGAATTATCAGCGCCTTATTTTAATGGGATTTGTAGCGTAACCATAACGATAGTCGTATCATGTTGTGGTATATGTGTTGTTATTTTAAAAATCTGTAATTAGTTAATTTCGTACAGTTAGATATAGATTCTTTCTTTCTAATAAGTTTGAGGATGTAAAGAATTTTTAATGTAAGAATATTTCTTAAATTTATTGTTATTTATTTATTAAAGAAGATAGTTGTACTGTCGAAACGTTTACTTGTTTATTTAATTGGATTAATTCTATTATATTTAGTATTATTTTTATTTTATGTCTTTAATAAAAAATCTTGTAACTTCTTAATCTTTCGGCTCACAAGTTGGCCTATTATTGGATTGTTTGATTTTAATAAAATTCAAGCTTCTGAAAAATAAAATTGCTAATTAAAAAAATTATATTACAAAGTAAATCGCATATGAATGTTTTAAAAATTATTTTTATACATGTCCCTAACAGCACACATGTCCGAAAGACATTTAGAGGATATCCAGAAGATATAAAAAATATCCTTGAAAAAACATAATGAAAAAATAATATCTATAAAAATAATTAGTTGCAGCGATTTACGGAAGCGGAGGCAGCTTTATCAGAAGCGAATCAAATCGACAATCGTAACGTGACTGTTTGGAAGTACTTATGTCTGTTAAATATGTCTTTGCAACGTCACGATGAATTCGTTCAGTGCCGGACACAGATCGCTCAGGTGAAATGTTATTAACAAGAAGCGTTGATTGAGGTTTTTGCTGTTTTTCAGTGATATGTTGTCGTTGTCTCGTAGGACGATACGACTTTCTCTTTAGAAAAACGGTCCCTCAAACCGCGAGATGGAAAACTCATGCTCTAAATGCAGCCACGTAAATACATATAAGCTTCTCCTCTCCTTAATTCGGAGATTCAGTCAGCTATTCTACGACGATCACGATGAGATTATTGGTGAGTCAGACCGCGGACTATATGCAAATACAGCATGTTTTGCAACTAATGATACAACGGGAAGATAATAATTTTATAGAAGATACGAAAATTCTATAAAATAACATATACACACATAAGTCAAAAATGTAAAATGAAATTTTTTATATAAGGCTACTTATTTACGCGAAAATTATATAATAACATATTGACGACTTTTTAAACTTGAACAATTTTTCGTTACATTTTCGAATTCATCACTCATTTCGCGATAGTGATTGTTAATATATAGACATAAAAACCAACATTTTCTCACCCCTATTTACTAAAATAATAATTAAAATTATTAAAAAATGTACATAAAAGTATCTAAAAAAATTAATTTTTTAATAGAGTAAATACACAATTTTTTATACAAATTTTTTAAATAGTCACGAAATAAAAAAATGTATATAATCGTTAGAGATCATTTAAATTAAAAAGAATTTTCCAATTTTCAAAATTTAAAGTCGATTTTTCTGAAAAATAAAGTCTCGTTTAAAAAAAATTTTATTCTATATTTTCAATTTATTTTTGTTTCATGTAGCATCATTATCTTTTCTGTATCATTAATTATGAAAGACATCTGCATTTTTAAATCTTTTATCTTTAGCTGCAATTTCGCAATAATATTCATAATGCGGAATAGAATATTGAGTCACATATCAAATGATTAATACTTTTTGTGTGTAGTGTACGCTATTTATACTCAGTCTGCTTCAAATAGTGATGTTTACTGCGATGATAAATTGCGATGAATCAAGAAGCGTTATACGTCACAAAATTGGAAAAAAGGTAGGTAATATCGCAGACTGTGCGGCAATAATATTATAAAACACGAAAGCGCTTGCGTTGATAAAATAGTGCAAAATAATAAAAAG